CAGGTAAGATATCTTTTTAATTTTTTTAATTTTATATTGTTTTGCATACAAATTCGTATACACTATGTTTCATACTTTCCTTCATTCACATTGTGTTTCATACAATCATTCTTACATACTTTGTTTTAAAAAATCAATCAACATTAACCTCTGCCCACACATAAGATGCCTTTTGATAGATATTATATGATACATAATAAATATCCTGATATAGCTATGATATGATATGATATATGATGATATGATATGTGGGATGAGGTATAGAAAAAATATCCTTTTGAATGTCAATGATCTTGAGCATCTTCTCATCAATGCACAGGAAACAAATATACTTAAAAATTCAAGTGAATTATACACAAGTCAAAACACAAAAGTTTTATAAGCTTCACCTCATACATTATCTCAATGCACAGCAGTATGTTCTCTTTAACCAAGTCATGCAACTCCCCATCCCCAGTACTCATATGAAATTGTATGTGTATAGTGAAGAACTACACCCAAGCCAAGAAGCCCCAGCAGTGATATTTGCATTAACTTGTATTAACACAGATAGTTAATACCATAGTTATACCAAGGTCTCCACTATTTACAGTTTGTGGATCTTGCAGAATATAGTCTCCATTTTGCTTTTGATATAAGGCCTATTGAGAGGTAAGGTGTTTATGAATAAAAAAAATTTTAGTAGCATGGTGGAAGCCTGTGACAATCTCCCTATATCAGACAGTTCTTTTTAGGTTATAAAATATACCAGTAGCTTTCTGGTTAGAATCACTTTATACCACAGAAGTAAAAACTTAAAATGTGTTTTAATTCTAACTGCAGAGAAAGATTTCATTGTCCTATTCTTTTTGGAATTTTGGCTTTGCAAAAGTTGTTTATAGATTTTTACTGACATCTTCTTAATTGATCATTATGTATGCTCAAGCTTAGGATTTTAAATGCTTGGTATATTATGCAAAATTGAGTTTTCTTAAGAGCTTGATTTCAAATAAGACTAATTCCACATCCTCCACTCATCACAGACTCACCCACATAAGATAGTAAGTAATGAATCTTTTCAAGTTATAATTAAATTTTCTTACACATGTTCCTATTATAAAAACAACAAATGTTTGTCATAAAAATTTATATAATAAAAAAGTCTTTAAAAGTTATAATAAAACTGCCCTAAAAGGTTCCATATTACTATGTTGTATAAATGTCAGGCATATTTATAAACCTACTAATGTGAGCATGAAACAAGATAGGACAGGGTTCAGGTCTGTTGCTCATAGGGTTTTATGTTTCATACTCATTGACACCTAACAGCAAAACTATGTAAGCTTACCTAAATCATAACCACTTATTTGATTTGTTTTAACAATGATTAATAAATATGCTGGTTCTAGGAAAAAATATTTCTGTTATGTATATAAAAATATGCAGAGTGGATTATATTTGAGGGTAGGGGGTGGGGTTTGGGGAGGTGTGGGGGGGATTGTGTACCAATGAGGGAGTTTTTCTTTTGCTTTTCAAGGAGAGGAGCAAACGGGGGAGGGGGGGAGGTGTTTGTGTGGGGAGAAGGGTGCAACAATGAATGAATGGAATTCCAAAATCTCTGTAGATGTTCATTGAAATGAAAAATAAACAAACTAAATTTAAAAAAATATGATATAACAAAAGGGTGTCAAGATTGTCCTCCTTTTTCAAATAACAAATTGCCCATTACTGAATCTTCTTTTCCACCAGTTCCAGAAGAAACCTCAGAACATGTTTCTCTACAGAATTCTAGAAAGAAGGCATAGTTCCTTCAGTTTCTGATCTCTAACAATAAGCCCGACTTTAAGGGAGCATGTGACTATGATGATCAGAAAAATAACAACAGTAGTAGTAATAATACTGTTAGATATTGCAAAGTGATTACAAATCATTTGTCTAACAGTAGACTTTTACATGGATCCTTCTAATATTTTCACCTTCTCCTCTCAAGCAAATGTTGCTTTGCCCCTAAAGAGAGATTTTCCTTCTGGGAGGATGATCAACGTTAGGTAAATATTTGTACAGAAAAATTCTCCTGAGTCTAGTCTGCTTCTGTGCAATTAACTATCTCTGAAAATCCACCAGGGGGTCAACTATGGGCTGGTTCTGACTCTCTGGTACACAACAACAACAATTTATATGCTCAGTGTTAAAACACAAAATTTCTGATAATAACTTTTTATGAGTTGGACAGCTGCTAAAGTGAAAAATAGGAACAGCAAAATCAAAGATAACTGATAATTTTTCTCTTCACCTCTTGTTTTTTGTGTCCAGAATCAGACATTGCTGACTTTGATGGCCAAAGCTCTCTCCTGTATAGATTCAATCAGAAGCTAATGAGTACACTCAAAGATGTGATTTCTCTGAAATTCAAGAGCATGCTAGGAGACGGAGTTCTTTTCCATGGAGAAGGTCAGCGTGGAGACCACATCACCCTGGAGCTCCAGACAGGAAGGCTTTCCCTGTATCTCAATTTGGGTAGGTTCAACCTTTTTTTCTTGCCCACAATGGACTGCAGAGAACTACTTTATATATACCTTGATGATCCCTTATGTGACTCAGGTACTCAAAGACAGTCACTAACACATACTTGTCATCTGCATTACTTTAGAAAACATACCATTTCACTTCTGAAATAGCCTCTGGAAACTCTATGAATGTGGAGAAACAATAAAAGTTATACGAGTGTTCAGGTCTTTTATTTATAGGGTTGTTATGAGTCTTCTATGACTCGACAGCTCTTTTTTTTAGTTAAATTTTATTAATTTTAATGAACATTTATAGATATTTTGGGTTTTCATTCATTCATTGTTGCACTATTTTCTCTACCTTTCTCCCCAGTTCATTCTTCCCCCCCCCCTTGAAAGTCTGTCTTAATTGTCCAATTGCCACAGTGCTTGTCAAAGCCAGTTCTGATTAATCTACTTTGTCAGTGTGTCCTTTGCCATTCCCT